CGTCACCACTGCAGCAGCACTGGTCAGCTGAAGCGCAGTCAGTATGTCTTCGATGTGGTGGTTGTTTGGTGCTGTCCAGGCCATTCTGACTCATAACGACCCTATAGGACAGGGTAGAACTGCCCCTGTGGGGTTCCGAGACTGTAAATTTTACAGGAGTAGAAAGCCTCATCTTTCTCCCACAGAGGGGCTGGTGGTTTTAACTGCTGACCTTGCAGTTAGCTGCCCAACACATAACCACTATGCCTACACTTTATCCTAGATTATGGGCTAACATACAAAAGTTTTCATTGCCAGGAAGTCATTGAGCAGCATTGTTTCGGAAAAGGGCCAATAAGCTTGGGAACCTACGTATCTGGTCTAGATCAAATACCAGCTGCAAAGATGGCTACCAGGCACGCTGGGTTTACTCTTCGCAACAGCACTATCTCACCCCGAGAGCCATCACGTGGAGCACCCACTTCATGGAGGCCGCCTCCACCACCTACCCATTTCTCATGGAGCTGGGCCACCTCCTCCTTGTGGGCTGCCTCCTGCTGCTGCAGGGCAACCTGCCCTTCTTGCTCAGCCCGGGTCAGCTGTCTGGCTGCTGCATCCCGCTCCTGCGCTGCCCGGCCGCGCTCCGTGTCCAGTTCCAGCTTGAGGCACCTCACCTCCCCTGAGATGCCAGGAGTAAGACCAGGGCCCAGCGCCTCGGCCCCACTTCCATCTAATAACATTCTCCCCTCCCTCCCTCCCTCAGGAGCACCCCCTGTGTCAATGGGGCAGCTGACCCTGAGCCTGCTGGGGCAGGACCACAGCCTCCCGTGGCCTGGCTGTCTACATCCCCGTGGCACGGAGGGGGCCCTGGCCCAGGCAGGTTCTTACCTTGGATCACATCCTTGGCTTGAGTGACCGTCTGAATCTGGACCTCCAGCTGCGCCTTGGCGACCTCAATTAGAGAATTGTGTTGCTGGGCCTCAAAGAGACTGCCCTCCAGGAGCTCCTTGGCCGAGCTGTCAGCAAAGGTCAGGGGTCAGGCAGAGTTCTCACCCTTTGGGCCGTCTGATGCTGCTGTTCCTGGCCAGTTTGGGACTCGCCGCCACCCCACAGGGGTTCCGAGACCATCTTCTACAGGAGCAGATCGCCTGGTCTTTCTCCCAAGGAGCGGCTGAGTGCTCAAATCTCCAACTAACTACAAACTCTGAACTCTTCTAGAACCCAACCACAGAGGACAGGGAGCTGAGCTGGGGCTGGGCCCTACCTGAGGCCCAGCACTTGCTCAGAGAGGCCCTGCCGGTCCCGCTCCACAGCTTGCAGTCTCACTTCAAGAGCTGCCTTCTCTCGCACCAGGGTCTCCTTCTCCTGGACGGCCCTGGTCAGCATGTCTGCCAGGCGCTGTGTCTCCTGCTGCAGCTGCTCCAGCTGAGCCCTGGATGCCTCCTGCTGTTGGCATGCCTGAGGAGAAGGAAGGGGTGAGCAGGATGCTCCCGGGACCTCCACCACCAGGTTAGAGGTTCCAAGCCCAGCTGGGATCCCTGAGCACCGCTCATCCCACTGAGCTGGTGCTTTGCCCTAAGAGCCTTGTGCTAGGGACTGCAGGGGGTCTTCCCCACAGGGGCGATATGAACACACATGATAACAGGGTCTGCCCAGTAGGGACGATATGACACACACATGATAACAGAGAGCAGTGACTCAGTGCCCTGAGAAAGAAGTGCTGCGTAATTAATGCTCAGGGCACTAACGAGTCTGGTAAGGAGCCCTGGTGGTGGCGCTGTTGGATAATCACTGGATTGCTAATTTGCAAGGCCAGTTGTTCAAACCCACTAGGTGCTCTGAAGGGGGAAAATGAGGCTCTCTGCTCTCTTAAAGACTGAAAGCCTCAGAAGCCCTACATAGGGTTACTATGTGTTAGAATGGACTGGATGGTAGTGGGCTTGGGTTTGGAGGCAGGTAGGGAGCAGAGAGAGAGACTTGAGCCTCCCTCACCGCCCACCATCAAGCCAGTTCTGACTCAGAGTGACCCTATAGGAGAGGGTAGAACTGCCCCAGTGGGTTTCTGAGACTGTAACTCTTTATGGGAGTAGGAAGCCAAGTGCTTCTCACAAGGGTTGGCTGGTGGATTCAAACAGCAGACCTTGTGGTTAGCAGCCCAACATGTGACCACTATACCACTAGGGCAGTTTTGAGCCTGGTCACTGGCAAAAAAAAATGTATCCAGGGTTTTTAATTGAATGCCCCCTGCCCCAACTGTGTCTACTTGGCTGGGTCACAGTTCTCAGTTTGGGCAGTGATGTCATGATGCGACCACCTCCCAGTGAGGTGACCTGATGTGATCCGACAATCAGTTGTAATGGCCTTAAGGTGGGCCGCAATAGCACTGACAGATCTCCAAGGAATGCTGGGCCCACAGATGCTGAAAGGAGATCAGGATCTTCCTCCCAAACTAAGGCAACAGAGAGAGGCAGCAGCCTGAGCTTGGACTTCCGAGCCTCCTACACAGGGAGAGGATACATGTCCGTTTAGCCACACTGTCCACTTGTAGCATTTGTGATGGTAGCACTAGATAACGAAGACCAGAGCCCCTCCCTGCCATGTGCTCAGCACTGTGCTAAAAGCTGGAGGAATACAAGCAAGTGAGACATGGCCCTGCCTTTGGTCCAATGATGGAGAGCTGTCCACAGCTAACAAGGACACAGATGACGGTGGTGATGGCTGAAAGAATCACCAAGTGCAATGAGCGCATCGGAGAGGGAGGCGGTGAAGCAGGGGGTCGGGGCACAGGAAGCAGAAGATGCCAATAGAGAGAGTGGGGGAGGAGTGTCCAGAGATGCCAAGGTGGCAGAACCAGTGAAGGCGGCTCAGAGAAGCCCAGGCTGCAAGCTCTGTCTGCCCACGCACTGCCACTGCCACTTTCTGAGGTGAGTGTGGAGAACAGAGACCAAGGACATTTGTAAGAAAAGGAAGTAGGAAAATAACATGTAAAACCTTAAGGGATCATTTCTGCAAATAATCATACTTAATTTATTATATGTGGATATGTTATGGATTGGCTTGGGTCCCCCCCCTCTCCCAATATGTGGTGAAGATCCTATTTGTGAATGAGTTGTCTTTGCTATGTTAATGAGGCAGGGTTCAAGCAGGGGCTGGAGTTCATCTCTTCCGAGAAATTAATTTAACAAGGGAAAGAAGCAGATATGGGGAAAGAGATGCCAAGCTGCAACGTCATCCCCCAGGAGCAGGTGAAAGTGAGAGAGAGAGAAAGAGAGAGAGAGAGAGAGTGAGCGAGCGAGCCAGCCTTCTCCTGCTTTGCTCTGAATTCATACTTCTGACCTCCTAAAATAAATTTGTTTGTTAAAACTCTCAGCTTGCACTATTTCTGTTAGAGTAGCACTAGCTAACTACAACAGCATGTACACCTGCATGCACGCTCACATGTCATTTCTGTGCAGTAGACACCAGGTTACAAACATCTGACTTACATACCACTTGTAGTTACACACCAACTTCCAGAAAGCATAGGATACTAAAGGTTCGAGGTATATCTATTAGTTCATAATAGCAAACAGGTGTTACTGTGCGATGCAAAGCAAAATATTATTATTATTACTATATTATTACTTCAAAGATGTTTCCATGTATCTGGAAGTATGTCTTTAATATTTACTATAGACTACAGACTAAGACAAACATTCGACAAATGCGTTAGATACAAGCCACAGGAAGTGTTCTGACAGATGTACAAGTCGGCCGTACAGGCAGATTTCGGACTGAAACTCATTCTCATTCTGGAGCTGGCTGACACATTGTCTTGGAAAAACAAAAATCAGGAAGATCATACCGTACAGGAGTAGCACCGGTCATTTCAAGGAAGTAAGCCTTTCACTTCTGAATGCATCCTGGCAGAATTCTGATTTTGTATAGCGAGCATGGAGATCACTTTGTCTTCTCACCTCACTCAGTTTCCCCTGAATTTCTTCCTTCTCTTCTCGGATGCCCCTGAGATCAGCCTGCAGCTCGGCCCCAGTCTCCTGCGCTTTCTGCAGCTGTGTCTCCAGGTGGGTTTTCTGTTCCCACAGGACTTCCCTGCTCCTCTCAGCTTCCGCCAGGTCCACCTGCAAAGCGTTTCTCGCCTGCTCTGCAGCCTCCATTCTGTTGCATGTGGACAGGTTCTCCTGTTCTAACTACTGGCCAACAAGAGAAAGGGGAAAGGACATCAAAGACAATTGTTACAGTTTAGAGCAGTGGTTCCCTACCCGGGAGTCGGATGACCCTTTCAGGGGCTTGCCTGATTCATAACAGTAGCAAAATGACAGTTATGAAGTAGTAAGGAAAATAATGTTATGGTTGGGGGGTCACCACCACATGAGGAACTGAATTAAAGGGTCGCGGCATTAGAAGGTTGAGAACCAATGGTTTAGAGGCTGGGTACTGAGGCTGGAATGACCTGAATTTATTCGTCATCAAGGATGAACACAGGAGTGTTTATGAGGGGAGAACCCATTCCTTTGAACTGATGCCTAAATTCCAGGTATTGGGACAGACTGGAGCCCTGGTGGCATAGTGGGTACACTTTGGACTGCTAATTGCAAGGTCAGCAGCTCGAAACCACCAGCTGCTCTACTGGATAAAGACGAGGCTTTCTCCTCTTGTAAAGAGCTACCATCTTGGAAACCCGCAGGGGCAGTTCTACCCTGTCCTGTAGGGTCATGTTCTCTAGGCAGTGAGTTTGGTTTGGCGTTTGAGATCGATTGGATGGGTCTTCATGGATGCACATGCTGAGCATGGGGATCAAAAAGGGCAACACCCGGCTCTCAGAATTTAGTAAGAAGGAACACAGACCTGAGAGGTGTAGGGAGGAGATCAATTTTTAACCTACAACGAGAGGATCTTTAGGATGTAGGCTGTTTGGCTGATCTTTTTCTGGTGGGGGATGCTATCTCAGGCAACAGATGAAAAACCTAAATGTGTAGTCTTTTTTTCAGAGGCGCTGGCTGGGGGACTCCTTCCCAGCCTGGTGATGGATCCTACAGCCTCCAGGTGGCTTGGTTTTGGGTGTAGGAGACTGTTTTTATGGCTGAGATCAACCCTTGGGAGACTTGGTGGCTGCTACCTAAAAAGTTGGTCTGAACCTGCCATGGGAGAAAGAAGTGGCCGTCTGCTTCCGTAAAGATTCACAGCCCTGGAAACCCTAGGGGCGTTCTGCTGTCTTACAGGGCCCTTCTAGGTTGGAATTTGAGTAGAGGGCAAGGGTTTGCTTTGGGTTTAAGGTCAGTTTTTAAAGCCTTCGCTCAGCTTTGCATTCTAAATGTCCGCTCTGCTCACTGTAGGACTACATTTGGGAGCAGACTTGTCTTGGACCCACCCATTTGGGGGCTCTCCATTGTCAAGGGCACCAGCTTTAAATGTTGCTTGCTCTTGATCTGGCTTCAGCCCAAGCCCAGGGATCAGAGAAATCGTTGCTCACCTGGAGAAGCTGCTGGTTTAGTGCCACTTTATCTAAGGCCAAAGCCTCATTTAGGGCACCGAGCTTGACAGCTGCAGCTCGAAGATCAGCTACCTCTGCCTTCAGGCTGTTCTCAGAGCTCGACAGCTCCGCAATGGACTGCTCCGCCTAGACAAACCAGGGTCATGAGTTCCAATTTCCAGGTTGCCTGCCACCATAAATCGCCCCCACCCCCAGCACCTGCTGCTTTCTTTGTACAAAGATCAGTTGCCTCTGTCCCTCCTTGACATTCCAAGCACGTTTTCCCTTGATTCATTTACTCATTCACTGATGAGCAAGACTGCAGATCACAGTATAGACCAGAGCTTCCCAAACTTACCTGACCCAGTAGCCCTTTTCAAACAAAATTACTCAGCGCCCCCCCTGGCAATGAAAAAATTTCTTGTGCGGTAGCCCACATCCAGGATAAAGTGTAGGTGTCTGCCTTTTCAGCCTCCCTCTCACTTCACGTGATCCTTCCAGTATGCCCACTCCGCTGGAGTGGTATCACCCACTTTGGGAGGCACTGGTGTAGAGGCACAGACACAGTAACGACTACAGAAAATGCACACACAAAATGGCCTGGCACGAAAAGGAGGCATTCGATAAGTCAGAGTCAAAAAGGCTCCTCGGCAGGGTGACTGCCAGTTAATTGGGGTATTGAGAGGTCAGTAGGAGTTTGCTGGTTGAACAGGGAGGACAACAGGCAGTCCAGGCAAAGGGAAGAGTATACACGAAGGGAGGGGAAAAGGGTGGTCTAACAGAATGCTGTCTGTGTTGCGAGCAGGGGCAAGGAAGAAAGGCCTGGAGGTGTATTTTCAGAAATCAGCCACTGAAAACCCCATGGATCACAGAAGTCCGATCCACAACTGATCTCGGGGATGGTGCAGGGCCTGGAAACACATCACCCACCTGAGCAGGGGGCCACCATGGGTTGGGAGCCTACTCCACAGCAGTGAATGCCAGCAGGAGTCGAGAGACCACAAGTTGGAATAGGGAATTTGGAGTGGAAGAGGAAGCTAGGAACAGCACAGGCCAGATGGCAAGAGGCTTTGAATTTGGTGCCAAAGAGTTTGGAAATCACTGACTGTTTTTTGCTCTGTTTTTAACTTTTTGTTCTGTATTTGCGAGAGAGTTGGCAGAGCACCTTGGTTTTCCATCCAAGATCCACACCCGTTTGGTTTTGTGACATGAATTGCACCCCCCCACGGTGTAACAGCACTCTTCCCACTTCTGCCCTGGGTTTCCCGTTTCTATTTGCCTGTCTTCTTTCCTACCCGCTTCCTGCCTTCTGAGCTTTTTCCCTGTGCAATGTGGTCCTGGGTGGGCACGGACCTCCTTGGTGTTACTAATCACCTAATGGGCCTACTGTTGGCTGGAAGTTTAACCACTGGGGCACCGAGGAGTTTTGTACAAAAGAGATGGACAGATGTATACCTTTAAAAACCCATTCTAGTTCCAACACAGATGGAGGGAGAGAACCCAGCCACAAAAACCAGTCATCTCGGCAAGAAATATGAGGGGCCATGGCTTGAAGGGTGAGGAATGAGGCAGGATGCATGCCCTTCACCTGGAAACACATCTGTCTTGGTTGCCCGCCCGGCAAAGGAGGGGAGGAGACCTACGCACCCGGGCCAGCGCTGCGGTCACTTCAGCTTGCTCTTGCTTCAGCAACTCCCCTTCCAGGCGACTCGACTCCAGGGCTTCGCGGAGGGTGATCAGTTCACTGAGGGATTCTGTCTGCTTGGCTTCGAGGCTCGCCAGTGTCTCTTGACTAAGATGGGAAGGAGAGGGGGGTAGAAGAGGTTCGAGGGAGTCTCCAAAAGAGAATAGAAATGTCGTTATCTCTGCTGGGCAGAAAGAAAAGAAGGTCTCTAAACAGAAAAGGAAACCCCTCCCAGAAAAAGAGACAGGTGCAGAACAGTGCACATCGCAGGCTACCTTTTGTGCAAAAAATCAGAGAAACTAAGAAGAGAAGCCTGTTCTTTTTAGAAGGCAGCCCTGGGAAGAGCAGGAAGAGAGTCATTAAAATGGCCATCTCTTGGAGGAGGGGGCGGGGTGGGAAGGACACTTCTCTGGGTCTGTATTTTTGCACAGTCCTGACTTTTGAAATGCATACATGCAATCTTGATCTATGAATATAAGGTTTAAAACATGTAAATCTCTCTGTAGATTGCCTATCTCTCTCCTTGGCACCTGGGAGATCCTTCTGAACCTAAGTCATGACCCTGATGGCAGTTCCCTGACCCTGCAAGATTCCATGACTCACGCCAACTGGGCTAGGACAGGAGGGCACATGCCACCACAGATGGAGAAGAGATGGTCCCTGCTACCAGCCACTGAGGACCTTGCACGTGCCAGGCTCTCGGATGGGATTCAGCACACAGGCGCCCATCTTCCCCACATGGCACTTCAAGGGAAGAATGACCAGGCCACTTTTACAAATCCATCCAACAGGCAGGGTCATCATTTAAGCCAAGTGTCTGCTTGGCTCTGAAGCCTTTACTCTTTGCCTAGGAATTTGCAGATTACCTGGGGAAATCATCCAAATCAGCATCCCTTGTCTCTGGGTTTCTGTGACTTCCCAGTATGGGGTCTGCCCTTTTGACAGCTCAGCCATCTCTAAGATGCTGTGAGCTTTCCCACAGTTGCTAGTCTGTTCCTTTCGTCCTTCTACATCCAACCAATGAAAATACATCAGCTCAAAGCCCCTGGCTCCATGAACCTTTCCCTCCAAAAAAAAGACCCAAACCAAACTCCCTGCCATCAAGTCCATTCTAGCTCACAGTGACCCTATAGGACAAGGTAGAACTGCCCCTGTGAGTTTCCGAAGTGGTTACTCTGAAAAGGAGTAAAAAGCCTTGTCTTTCTCCCTCGGAATAGCTGGTGGTTTCAAACTGCTGACCTCGTGGTTTAGCGGCCCAATTTGTAACCACTGCACCACCTTTCCTAGTCATCACCAATTAACCCGTTACTCTGACTTCCCAAAGCACCTAGCTGGAGGCTCTAAGGAACCAGTATTTGGACCAGCCTCATGCCAGTTAGCTGTTTACTTGTCTGTCTCCCCCACTAGACAGCTCCTGGAGAGCAGGGCCTGGGCCGTGTTCCCTTCTGTAGCCCCCAGTGGATGATCAGTAAAGCCTGGGTGGACTTTCTATCTTCATCTTTCTGCAGAGGAAGGAGCAATAAGCTAATCTGGACCCACTGCAGGCCAGGCTTCCATTTACTCTGATTTCCGAGAGAGGGGTGGGGGCGTGGTGAGGGCTCTGAGACTGCTGGCGGGCACACTTACAGACGCTCCCTTTCTCGGAGTGCCAGGTGCAGCTCCTCCTGCCGCTCCTCCTTCTCCCCCTGGGCTGAGTCCCCCTGCAGCTGAAGTTCCATGTTTGTTCTCCGCAGCCGCCAAGCCTCCTGCTCCAGCACTTGAAGTTGCTGCTGCAGCCCTTCCCTGGCCTCCTCCAGGAGCTCCCGCTCCCTGGAAGAAGAGGGAGACAGGAGATGGAAAGAGACCCGGAGACCTCAAATCCTTTCTAGAAGCAGGTGTCACGTGGTCCAAGGAAAGAGACCCCCGGGCTCCTTTTGGACAATCATCACGGCCTCAGTGGCGAGTGGGAAGGAACCCCATGGCAGGCAGCCCTGAGTGGCCTGGGTCTCAGGCAGAGCATGATGGGAAGGCTTAAATGGCTGCATGGGGACCAGGACTGGAAGGCTGGAGGAGGTGCCCACTGCTCACTTGCTGAGAGTGTCCACCTCGCCCTGGAGGTCCACAGTGTGCCCGGCCAGGGTGTCGCGCTCCCCAGTGAGAGCCTGAAGCCGCTGTCTCAGGGCTTCGCCCTCCTCCTCCCACTGCTCATGCTGCTGCTGCAGGAAGCTCATCGCCTCCTGACAGCTGGACAGCTGCTGCCTCAGGTCCTGAGGAGAGAAAGCGAGAGAAGAGGGACAGTGGGTCAGAAGGCAAGGGCAAAAGAGGGATACCACAAGCCCCAGTGCAGGGCTGGGCAAGGGGCAGAGGGACACAAGGGTAAGCGGAGAAGAGATGTGACCAGTTGAGGTAACAGAAGGTGAGAGGTGGTTGGGTCTCTATAGCTCCTGTCTTACAGTTCAGGATCTGCAAATGTTTGGTGGCTCGGGGGCCCTGGGAAAGAATCAGGTACAGACCCCCGGGGGAAAGTGTTAGGGAAAGCTCATCCAAGCTCCCTCAGTTGCGCCGGTTGCCAAGGTTTGCCTGGTGTGATGTGGAGGGGGCCCTTGGTCTGCAGACTGTGTGGGACCCACAGTGACAGTTGGGTAGAGTCTTATGAGCACCCTGGGTGTCAACAAAGTTCAAAGGTGGTGGTTGAGACTGGCGGGTCCTGGGGCCGAGGGACAACCTGCGGCACAAGTCAGTTTAGATTCCCACTCCTGTGGCTGGAGTGGAATGCTGGGGCTTCTCACCTGCACGGCCTGGCGTCTCCGGATCAGCACAGAACGCACCAGTGTGAGAGCCCTGTCTGGATCCTGGGGGGCAAGTTGGGAGGAGAGGCCACTTGAGTCCAGCTCCAGAGAGCTCTCAGGGTCACAGCTCTGAGTCATACTGTCCCCTTCTTCTACCATGACCTGGAACCAACACAAGGTATCACCAACTGACAAAGACCGACTGTGCCTATAGACGATTCACAACCGGGACATAACCTATAACCCAATCTTTTGTTGCCTCAACTCCGCTATCAGGGCGGTGTAGGAGAGAGGTAGCTAAGGGCAAAAAAAACCAAACTGGTTCCTTCAGCACTCCACCTTTGGTCCTCCAACCCGAGGACTAGCAAGAGGGCTAGAAGATTCTGTGATGTGATAACAAAATGAGGGCAGAAGAGGAGGCTAGTGAGTTCATGAAGACCAGCCTCTGGCCTGAGAACTGTCGCAGAAGAGCGGGCTTGTTTCAACATGAATGCTGAGTCACCCCTCCCTTAGGGTTCCAGTCTCCAGACACGCTCAGGGAACCCAGTCCCATAAAGCCTTCCACCCAGATGCCGGCAGAGTGGGAATTTAGGCACGACACGACTGAGACACACAATCTGGTGTCCATGAACCAGGGGCTCACCGGTACCTGGGTTATCTCCTTGATCACCTGCTGTAAAGATAGCTTCTCCTCCTGGGCATGCCTACTTAGAGATGCCTCGTGTTCCATCAATTCTGCGTGATTTGACTCCTGAGCAGGGAACAAAACAGAGCCTTTGAGCCAAACTCTCAGAAAAGGATTTAGTAGTCCCCTTCCCACACCAACCAAAGTCTCATTCTGTCTATTCTATTGGCCTCGCTTTATCCTGGAGCACACATGGACCCGAATGCTGTTCCTCGGGCATTTGATGGCAGTGACATGCAGTGGTGAAGAGTTCAGATGAGCTTACTAAGGGCTCTACATGACCAGGCCTACATTCCAGCGCTCTGGCTTGGTGACCTTAGCCAACTACTACTTTGAGGGCTAGTTTCCTTTGATTTAAAATAGGAATGAGAATCCATAGTGCTTGGGTTATTATTGGATGGCGAGATGGCTGCTATCTCTATCCAACCAAGTGAGGCTTGAGACCTAAGAATAAACCTGAGAAAACTCTGGCCCCAAAGTTAGGAATAATTTTGAAGACTCAAGGTTTCCTCTCTGTTTATCTCTACTTGTCTGAGTGAAGGCCTGCCGAAGTTGGGCAGCCCAAGGCCCAGTCCGGCCTGTAGTTGGGTTTGTTTCGTCCTTGCGCAGCCTAAGGAGCTCTGGTGGCACAACAGGTGAGCACCGGGCTGACAGACCTCCCTTTGGTGGCGATGTGTTCCTGCAGAGATGACAGCCAAGACCGTCCGACGGGGCAGTCTTCCTCTGTCACCGGGGGTCAGAACTGACTCAACATCACCCAACAACCACATGGCAATTCAGAAGCAAATTTAAAAATGGAAACATGGTACATAAAGATCCACATTTCTGGCTTCTCTCAAAGTCTTAACAAGTGGGCCATCCCCAGGCCACACTCCTATGTGGCAAGTTTTCTGAAGTTGTCCAATTGACGGCTCCTTCTGACGGGATGAGCAGTCTTAGCTTCCTGCAGCCCCCACTGCACCTCAGTGCTCCCTCCATTTGGAGGTTGTGCTCCCTGCAGTACAGAAAACGAAGTGTGGCAGCACTAGAAAATCTGAATTCTTCCAACAGAATCCACTTCGCTCTTGGATGTTCTTTCCGCCCCACAGACACCTGGATCTGCAAGTTCCTGCCCCAAATGAATCAAATGAACAGAAATGCACCCCGCTTCCAATTGATTGCAGCTTGGATGAGAAGATCAGGGGTGCTCAACTATTGAACAGACAGTTCAACCCCTCCACAGCTCCAGCTTTTAGCATAAATCAGCCGACCTAGAACTTCGAGCCACTGATGCTGCTTTGGCCCACTCAGAATAACATGAATCAAGGCCACCCTCTCTTCCCCAGTGTCAGATACGCGAAGATGGCCCTCATGTCTTCCTCAAGACTTTTCTACTCTAGGCTAAGCACGGTCATGGCCCTCGGTTTCCCATATGACATGGTTGTGAATCTCGGCACATTCCCAGTGGCTCAGTGGGCTGCCCATGTGCTTCCTAATGTGTGTGCCATATCTCTCTGATACAGAGACACTGCACACATTTCTACAGAGGAATGTTGTAGGGACAGCAGACAGTTAATAATTCTTAAAGGATGAATAGATGAGCTAATTAACTTTCTGAGTTAGCCATATATACCAGATATATTACATTTCTTTAAGGGTTTTCAAAGACAAACATTCGAAGAAGCACACCAGCCTGTGTGACCACGAGGTGTTGAAGGGATGAGGTATCAGGCATCATCAGAACAAAAATCATATCATTGTGAATGAGGGTAAGTGTGGAGTGGAGACCCAAAGCCCATCTGCAGGCAATTGGGCATCCCCTTACGAAAGGGTCTCGGGGAGGAGATGAGTCAGTCAGGGTGCAGGGTAGTAACGATGAAACATACAACTTTCTTCTAGTTCCTGAATGCTTCCTCCCCCACCCACTATCATGATCCCAGTTCTACCCTACAAATCTGGCTAGACCAGA